CACCAGCACCAGCACCAGCACCAGCACCAGCACCAGCACCAGCACCAGCACCAGCACCAGCACCAGCACCAGCACCAGCACCAGCACCACCGCCAACACCTTCTCCTCCTTCTCCTCCTGCTCCTCCTACGCCTCCACCACCACCCGTACCACCAGCTCCACCCCATGTGCCTCTTGCACCCGCTGCACCTCCAGTAACTCCAACACCCCCACCACCTCCACCCCCACCCCCACCACCTCCTGAGACAGGACCCTTAACGGAGACCACGTTTCCGTTTTGTATAGTGATTTTGAATTGGTGCGAATCCCTTCCATAATAGCTATTTAGTCCTTTTTCGATTGTCTTTGTGGTCATTTCAATGGCTGCTTTTTCACCAGCACTCGCTCCTGCCGATGTTCCAGTCTCCATTCCTGCCAAGGCACCAGCCTTTGCTCCTGCTTTTGCTCCACTACGCATCGCCCACTTTGTTCCAAATGCTAAACCGGCTCTTGCGCCGGCTCGTGCTGCTACTTTGATTAAAATAGCTTGGTAAGTAGCATTTTTCTCTAGTAATAAAGATAAGAAAGGTTTTGTCAATTCAGTTTGTTAACTTTTATGATTTAGTTTTTGAGATTCCTATCTATCAAATTACAGCTCCTATCCTCCCGTTCTCCAAACACAGCGCTTGAGGTGTTAGCTATTGAAAAACACCTTTCCATAAAATAAAGAAAGATCAAATTGTACCTACCGGGAGGAGGCGGCAGTGATGTCCAAAGGAACTTTGATGGTATCACTTTGTAAAATGTCCCGTCTGGTGTCTGTACTGCAGCTTCCAGGTGATCATTCTGATGATCGTCTTTCATGATAGCCTCCATGTAGTAATATTTACCCTTCCTCAGGTAAACCGGGAGAGATTTTTGATTCGAGAATCTAGATAAATAATTCAAATTACTAGGAAGTATCTAATGGCTAAGATCGAGTGTGCATCTGAAATAAGAGTGTGTGTCTGAAATACAGACAAATTTAGCCTGCTAGCAGGCTCTTCTTGGAGAAAGAAAGGAGAGTAAAGGGGGAGTGATTCAAAGCTCTAAGCTATGCGGGCAGGCTCTTTTTCCCCTTTGCTCTCCCTCTTTCTTCAACCGCGATAATCCTGCTCGCAGGCTATGCTCGGGGTTTATGCTAATTTGCTTTTGAAAGAGGCCGCCACATTAAAGATTCAGGAAGGAAGTGTACATGTTGCATCTTTCTATGTTTTAATAAGTGGTACGATTAGAAAAGCCAGCTATAGATATAGATACTGGTAAATCTGTATAGCTAATATATAACTCTTGTGGCCGGCTTTATGAAAAATACTAAGCTTCAAGCTTAAGTTCAACGGGAAGCCGCTTGGCTTCAGTAGCATGCGAAAAGCGCTATTCACTAGCTTAGTATACATAAAATATTTCTTATATTCTATTTTTTTAAAATATGATGTAATCTAAAATTTAATGATGTTGTTACCTATCATATTCATACTGATAAGTGGTAAATCCACCATCAACAGAACTAATCAACGTCTTTGTGTCAGGTTTCTCATTGGTGCTGATAAACAGCTCACTCCCAGCGTCGGATGCTGAAAAACAGATTGCCGAGCAAACTGTCAGTTGCTTAAAATCTACTCTAATTCCTAGGAGAGTGAATGAACGTGTTTTATATATTTTTACTGCCTGCGGAATTGTGACGGTTTGGGAAGAAGAGTATCATCACATGTAACATCAAATTACGTCAGCCACATCTGAATCCCGATAACATTTTTACCTAATCGTGCTTTTCCGACATACTTCTACGGCGGCATATCAGGCTAGTTTGGTCGAACCATGTTTCATATTTATGCAAGAAGCAGTTGAGCCAAAATACCGATGACATGAACGAACCAGCCTTATATGTCACCAAACCTTAGGACTTACCCGGTACCCAAATTTACATCTAGCCATACGAGATCGGTGAATATTGATATAGAGCGTTTTTAATCACGTGGCAAGGACTCATGCAAATTTATTGGAACAAAAGAAAGTGTTTACATTAGAAATGAGTTTAGCTCCCACAGAATAGGTCATTTCTGAGTGAATTTTGCCTCTGTTTGAAAGGGAGACCTCGTGCAAAACTTTTCTTGTGAAAATGAGTTTGTCTTGCATGAAAATAACTTACTGATGAAACGCATCTTCATGGCAATGGTTTCGCACGAAGACTCGTTTTGACACAGAGACAAAGGACAACTCGGAAATGCCTGGTAACACCGATATGGCTGCCGCGACTTCAGTTGAAAACGCCTCATAGAACTTACCACTCATCATTATGTATTAATCACTTGTCAGTAATTACAGATCAATCTTAAACAAAATCCTAATTGAAACGTATTAAAATTACAGTTATATATTGTTGTGTCTGTGTGGTAATGTGCTTTTACTCCATGGTGTGCTATCTGGCAGACACCACCTCTTTTGTCACGTAAAAAAGTAGCAACTTACAAAGAAAGAAGTAATGGTTTCCTGTCTGGAATGGAACGAAATACGTCCTCAAGCGAGAACCAAAGAAGTTTGTCCACCGTGACGGCTGTTCGAATGTTGGAACACAAGTTGCAAAACTTGGTAGGTTTGGATATCTTGGATCCGCCAGCAGAAATTTAACGCGTTTGTAATCTATTCTGTCCCATCTCTCCAAGTAAACGCCGTGGATCACTACAAGGAAGAACAAAATACCAGACTGAGATGCTAACATGAAATGGAATATTCGCTACCGATTTAAAAAGGTGACTAACTCACTGTTACACGGGGACGCCGTGCTGCCAAATGTTCTTTTCCGCCTAACCAACCCATGGTCACCTCCTGGTTAAAAAGCAAGAAACATCAGAAGTTTTATTGACAGCCGTGTATATTTTGCAAAAGCTCTCTTTCATTAATGGGACATCAGTTCGAACATCCTTATTGTCGTTAGAATGCAAACTAACCGATCTTACAGAACATGAGATATTCGTGGCCTATTTAAATGCAAAGACCTATAAGGATTCAGTTAATTGAGAGTTTAAGTTACATTTTTTTAAGAAAAACGGCTGTTAACCATAGGTACGTGTGTAGAGACAAACCAACCAAACAAACAAACCTGTCTCAGGTAGATGTAGAAGCCAGTGCTGTTTATAAGGAGAAATGCTTCGAAGTCTTGTTATTTTCATGCGTTTTTTTTTTCTTTTTTCTTGCAACGGCACGTTTAAATTATCGCGCTAAATGGCATGTTTAAATGGGGTTCACTTCGGAAATTTAGGTGCCTCTTTCACAGCTTGAAGCCAAGACAAATTGTGTTAAGATCAATATAACGAGTGGTAATCCCATGATTTGCGTTTAGCGCTTTTTAATAACTCAGTAATCAAATTTGTAAACTGTTTGTGTGGTGTAGAAGACAAATTTCGTCCCAGTGAATACAGTGTCTTGTTTATTTACAAATTTATGCACCATGCCAATCTCTAGCTAAATAGATAAATAGTTAAGCGAAGTTCATTGCCAGAAGTGAAAAAAATACCGAGGTGACATGACATGCGGGAAATAAAATTGATATAGGGGAAACATTAGATGCTTTTGATATGTGTTTATGGACAAAAACATGAACATATATATAGCGCTTTCTGGAAAAAAAGAGACGAAAAGTCAAGGGGATTTATGGTAATCATTTGAAAAGATAAACAAGCTTTTCTCGCGCAGTTGGCAGCGGGTGGCACAAAACGCTTGGATAAACTGACTACATGTCTAAGCTGGTGTTTCTTTGTGTTTGCTCTTGAGACAAATAAGAAATTTGCCCTCGATTAAAAGACTCTTTTCTTGGATCCTCTTAACAACAAACGCTTTAGTTTGTTAATACTTTGTAATGTTTTGGAAAGAAAATGTACCTCAGATTCATAAAATACTCTAAGCAGTAGGAGGTGGTTGGGAAGACTCTGTCCGTCGACTGAATGACTGGACAGAATCATTAGATGGTACGAATGGGGAAGACGGCTTCAGGCAATGATTATGAGCTCAAGTCAATTTCTGAGTAAAAAAAACCTTTTGCAAATATAACGCTGTATGTATCTGTGCAAATAACGCTGTATGTATCTGTGCAAAGCAAAGAGGTCGATTAAAAAGCCATTTGAGAGTTTCCTGGTTAGTAATTAGTCATTCCCTAAAGCACTGTTAAAGTCATAAATTTGTCTTGCAAATGAGGTTAACAACAGGTTAACGTTATGTGGGAGGGAAAGAGAGACTATCGCACGATAAACAGGTTAAACACGTAGGGTATTAACACTTAAGCTAAGTCTTATTCTCAAGGCACTTCCCATTACAGAGGGCTGCAATCTTGTAGAAAGAAAAATATCTTCTTTCAATTACAAGCCATATAGATTTTGATGTATCGAGGAGTTCGGTTACAAATGCGATAGAAGTTAGCCCTATTAGATAAGCAATTGAAAGGCCGCAGTCTAAGGTACAAGCAAAGTGGGTTTGGGGGTATTTTTAAGTTCCCAGCGATCCAGAAACCCATGGGGCTCTTGAAACAAAAAAATTGTTTTGTGTGTCACAAACTATATAAGCAGCAATTCAAGCGGATCTCTTAACACTGTATTAAGAACAGATGCACCTTACCTGCAAATTTATCACAAGAAGTCACCAAAATAGCTATATATATTCTTAAGTAAACAAGGGTTGCTCGAAACTTCATCGCATGTGGTCACCACATGGAAGTGACTGGGAATAAAGAAAAACGTCTGAGGCAGTAAAGAGTGTAGCTGGGGGATTCGCTTTTCTCGCTTACGATAAATAGGCCACCTGCTTCAAGACGAGATTTTTTTCAGAAAAATTGGTAACGTAGTTCTAAAACTATTTTGAGCTGATTCCTTTTTCAAAGTACAAAATAGACTTCCTGAAGTGCCTTGAAGCCAAACATTTAGTTTGTTTTTACACCAATGGTATCTACCCTGCGAGCATTTGGTTTGTCCTCCAGGAGAAACCAACTGGTCGCAGGGCAATCAAATCGGGTGAATTGAAACCTTGTAATGGAGGTATGTGTTTTAAATGAAACTTAGGTTAACGGTTATTAAATCCACCGTCTCAAGTTTTTTCGTCGTCTTATGAGTCTACATACTGAGAAGTTTCTAGCACACTGGCGTTTTTGCTTTTTTTCCCCGAAGCGTTTTAGGGAGGGGTTTCTCGTCGGGCTCATTTGTATTATTTTGTTTCCATTTTATATGTGAGGCGCGACCGTTGATCTCAGGGTGCCGGTTTATTTTCGCATGGGTCTAGTCGGTATTTTATATATATTTTATAGTACCAGAGGTATTTTTCTCAGAACCTGCTTGAGTTTTATTTATGTTCTGGATATGCTGTCTAGCAAGGGCTGCGTTATCCTAGTTTTTTCTTCAACGATATTTATCTAGTCAGCAACCTAACTCCATTTGCAACGTGAAAATCTATTATGTTTTAACTGATGAATCGAATATCTAAGTAGCTAGGATGTCACTGAAGACAAAGGACAAATGAATGGATAATCAATAGAAAAACAAGTAAACTAAATGATAGGAAAATAAAGCGTTTCTGACGCACTACACTTATTCGCCTAAATACTCACCAGAGGACCGTTTCTCGAAGGTCCCAGAATTTTTCGCACCCGAAAGACCGTAGCAAAATCTCAAACCCTTTGGCTTTGGCTACAGAGCTGTTTTATTCATATATTCTTAATGCGAACATAGGTTGTCTTCATACAAGAAATTTCAGGGTATACACCCTCTGTCTTAAAATACCGATTAACTAAAAATGGCTTTTCGGGCCCGAAAAGATTCCGGTGCTTTCGAGAAACCTGCCCCAGACCAGAACTCTAAATTTTGATTCATAATTTTAAGGTGGTTGTAAAATCTTCTGCTGAACAGTTTTAAAAACTATTATTTGCCGTGTAGTTTTTAAAACAAAACTGTATTAATTAAAAACAAAGATTACCAAATGGTTTGTTAATATTGAAGGGTTATTGAGTTTCATGTACATGTAGAGTTAGTCCATATCTATTCAGCCTATATCGATCTGGATATCACCCATCCCCATAACTTTAAGAAGGCCAGTGATAGTAATATTTCATCAAATCGACCTTTCTGGTGCATTGTTTTTTGTTCTATTTCATTCTTGTTTGGTCTAGTTTAATTTAGGCTGGTTTATTTTAATGCCGTCTAGTCTAGCCTAGCATAGTCTAGTCTAACCTAATCGAGTCTAGTCTTGTCTAGTCTAGTATTGCCTAGCCTAGTCTTGCCTAGCCTAGTATAGTCTTGCCTAGTCTAGTCTTGCCTAGTCTAGTCTTGCCTAGTCTAGTCTTGCCTAGTCTAGTCTTGCCTGGTCTAGTCTTGCCTAGTCTAGTCTTGCCTGGTCTAGTCTTGCCTGGTCTAGTCTTGCCTAGTCTAGTCTTGCCTAGTCTAGTCTAGCTTAGTCTAATGTGCTCTGCTCTGCTCTCGTCTAAACTAGTCTAAACTAGTTTAGTAAAGTTAAGCTTAGTCTCCCCTAGTCTAATACAACAGATCAAGTCAATTCCTTCGGTCTCTTTATTCGTAGTGTCTTCTCCACATACATCGTCTCTGTCGGTCCATCCTGTTCCACTTCCATCTGTTCTACCATTGTATAGATGCATTGTACAGATACTCGTCAAACGTTAATGCAAAATGAAAACCGTTCTTTCCTTGTGTCAGCTGCTGAAACACGCTCCTTGCTTGTAACGTTGTTTCATCCGTGAACGGCACAGGTTAATCAGTTTGTTTTTCCTTTCTTGTGTAGAACATTTTTGCATACTCTTCAGCATTGCAGCATTCCTTTGTTTAGTATCTCACAATTTCGTCGCACAGTACAAAAATGAAGGAGTTGTCTTCTTTTATTGCGTCCACGTGACTCATCACCATCGTCATAGCATTCGTCCAAGCCTCGTTTGCAGCATCGTGACGACATGAAGGCAGACACACTTCGGACTCGGTGCAGCTGCTGCACATACCAGAAAAATCACTTCATACAGTGCTCATGGTGAAAATTAGTGAGGAAAAAAGTTATTTTTCGAAGGTCAACGTTGAACAAGACGCCTTCTAAAAATTTCCCATTCCACACAGTCTTTCCCACAGCCTTAATTGAAAGAAAAAAAAAACAAAACTTCTCTCCAGCCCATGATGTTTGGCGAGTTTTGAGATCCCTCTTCCCTTTGGAAGGTGTTGCATGTCAAACATGGCTCAGGGGGAATGGGGGAAAGACTTTCGTAAGCCTATTTGTTTGAATGTAAATGGTATATTGGTGATTTGGAATTTCACACGAAAAAGGTCAGACTGAAAAAACGAATCAAAAAGTCTTGACACTGGAATTGTGTAACTTAAAACTTGGAAAATAGCAGAACATCCGTGATATTGTATACTTTTCAATGCTTAGCCAAATTTGGTTGAAAATATATTTTCACACCTCTTCCATACATGTTTTTT